CGCCTCTAGATATAGCGGCCTGCTTGCCTCTTGGGCGGTGACTTCCAGGCCGCTCGGCCTCCCAAGCAACCGGTACCTCCTTCGTTTCGGAGGGAAACATCATTGCAGACTCTGATATTGCCTGTACAGGCTCTAGACTCAGACTGGTTGGACTGGTACCGGCCTAGACCTACCCTACCGCTACGGGACTCTAAAAATGCCAACTGCAGTGGGGTGCTACTTGAGTGTTTTTCTGCTACCCCAAGGGCCTCAGGGCCGCTAGCTTCGCCACTTGAGTGTTTTTCCCTGCTACAACCCTCAATGCCACAGCCACAGGTAAGTACCGGCCCTACGGGCCTACCAAACAAGCAAGTACCCTTGCGGGTCCCACACACACTCACACCAACCAGCACTCAGACAGGCATGCAGGTCACAAGCACGCACACACAGACAGACTTAGAAAACACAGCAGAATGCGGGAATCTCAGCAAGGCATCCATTCCATCGGCAGAACTTCAGAAATCAGCAGTGTTCTCAGTCTGTGTTTTGACGGGTCATAACATATCTCTCCCCCTTGCTGTGGAATGTTAACAGTGTTGGGAAGGCTCTGCAGCGAGCGTGTTCGAAAACGATTTTGTATTTTTGTTCGGGTTCCAGGCTCAGACGTAGCCGTTCCGTTGACTGTTTTGGCTGTTTGCCTGAGCCTGAAACCTCCCAGACTGTTCTCTGACATTTGGCACTACCTGCCGTGTAGCCCATACCTTTAAAACAGCACAGTCTAACTCTCGTTATCTGAGTTCTGGGTGTGAACGGTAATCTGAGTTATTTTACTTCTATTTTATTTGTATCTATCTGACAAATAAAAGGTTAAGAGACCAGAATGGCAGAGGAGGTAAAGAAGGAGGTTGGGGAAACATCCACGCCTGACGGAGAGGGGAAACAAGAAACAGTAGTGGAGGACCCGGTGGAAGCAGCCCTGTGAGCAGCAAAGGAAATTGCTGCCAAAGCTCAGAAGGAAGTGGAAAGAACTGAAAGAGAAACGGCAGAAGCGGTCCAGAAAGGAAAGACAGCATCCAGACAAGCTGAGCTGCTGGAGAGGTTTGAGAAGGCCAAGTCTGATGGCCGTGAGTATGACATTGTTCAGAATCTTGCAGAGTGGGCCCTGCTGGAATCCACTCGTACCAGGAAAGTTTTTTCGGCCTGGGATGACAGGATTACAGCCGTAGAGACCAGATTGGTCTCGATGGATGCCACCCTGCAACAACTATCAGATGCCTTCTTCAGGCACTTTCCACCATCTCCTACTCCTACTCCTACTCCTACCCCTCCCCCCACTCCTCCTCCTACCCCTCCACCTGTGACCTCACCACCACAGCAACCCCATCCTGGCATAGTGCCCACACTGGGACCAAATTCTGGCTATTTACAGTCTGAACCGCGGTTTCCCAAGATGGGCCAGGAAGACCCCAAAGTGGACATCTCAGACTGGATAGCCCAAATGAGGTCATACCCCAGGGGTTATACCTGTCCAGAGGTGGACAAGGTACGTGCCACAGTGGCCCCTCCTGGCAGGGGCTGCGCTGAAGTGGGCAACGTCTGAGGCCAACAAGGCCCAGAAGCCGCTAGACGATTGGATTGTTGTGATTGGTCCGGACACTATCTTTCAGGGTCTAGAAACCACATTTGCTGATAAGGAAAAGGCCCGCAAGGCCGCTCATGAGCTTGTGAGACTAGGCCAGGGTAAATGGCGAGGATCTCTCTCCAAGCTCTATGCCGAGTAGGAACGACTAACATCAACTCCTGGTCTGGAAAGGTCTGAGCAGGACAAACTGACATGGTTTGTCAGAGCTGCTCCAGACACATATTCCAAGGCCCTGTACACTGCAGGCCACAAGGATTGGATGTCTTTTGGCAGGGCAGCATTGGACATGGAGGCCACCCTTCATCTCCAGTCCTCTTTCCATAAGGGAAGCACCTCCTCTTCCCAGAACAGGAGAAAGGGAAAGGGGGGATCTTATGCTGCAGGTTCTGATGATGACTCTGCAGGTTCGGATGATGACTCTGCAGGCTCTGACCAGGGGGGGATCTGCTTCCCCAGCTGGTCTAGATGCAGGAGACACATCAGATCAGGCCGCCCTACTGTGGGTCAGACTCTGATGAGCTTCATAAAGGGCAAAAGTCAGTTTCAGCCCCAAAGGACCACCAGTCCCAAGGGTTCAGGCAAACGCACAAGTGGCCAGCAGGCACCCAACCTCCCAAAGGGTGCCCAATGCCCTGCTAATCCCATGGATCCGGCCACATTCCACAGGAGAGATCTTAAGATTGCAGAGGGAATATGGCAAAAGAGAAAGGATCACGGAGTTTGCCTGCGTTGTGCAAAGAAGCACTTCGTCAAAGACTGCCCTACGTGGGGCAGCAAGAGTTCAAAAAGTTGAGCAGGCCAGTAGAGGAAACAGCCATCCCTGATGAACTGCATTTACCCTCTATGGAAGGTGAATCAGTCTATGAGCCAGTGTTTGGAGGCTGCAACTAACTCTCTGTATGCGTACACTGAGCCCTTTTTGGATGAGCCCTTATCTGAGGAAGAGACTGATCAGCTTTGCTCCCTTCATCCCCAACTGAAGGAGAAGAGAAAAGTGAAGTAAGATCTGATCTTTCTCAAACCTCTGATTAACAGAACCCGAATCAAGGCATTGTTAGACTGTGGTGCTACACAAAATTGCATCTCCCCTATAGAGGTATAAAAACTTAATTTGGGACTCAAGGTCTCAGACCTTGCGCATCCCTTACGTATACAGGTTGGGAATGCCCAGTCTGTCACAGTCCAACATCTCATCAAAGGTGTGCCAATCACCTTTGATGACAAAGGAGAAGTCAGACATAGCCTGAACTTCTATGTGTTTCCACACTTGTCTTTTGATCTAGTTCTGAGCCTGAAATGGTTAACGACAACTAATCCACGCATTGACTGGGTTGTGCCCAATATTCAGTTAAAGACTGAACAGGGTGAGCTTAGACCTTGTGTCTTAGCAACAGACTCTCACCCTAAGACAAGTTGTTATTGCCTGAAGGCATCAGAATTCTACGACTTGTCTAAACAAACTGACCATCAGAATCTCTTTGTGGCCTATGTGGCTTATGTGGCCCAAACTGATTCATCCAACCCTCAGTGTGACCCCATCATCCAAAAGGTGGTTGATGAGTATACTGACTTTAACTCAGAAGCCTTTTGGACTTGTCCATAAGCAAACTAAACACCCCATTGAGACCCTCCCTGACTCTACCCCTCCTAAGGGCAGAGTATATAGGATGTCTCCAGCTGAGTTAGATGAGTTAAGGAAACAGTTGGAGACACTAACTGAAAAGGGTTGGATCAGGCGTAGGTGCAACTCGAATGGAGTCACGCCGATCGCCGGATGCACCGAAGTGTTGTAGGCGAACTCGGTGTCGGGGAGGCGGTCAACCCAATCTTTCTGGTCCGGACGGATGGGCGTACGAAGCATCATTTGAGCGGTCTGATGTGCCCGCTCCATCTGCCCGTCTGTCTGAGGATGTCGAGCCGAACTTGGTTTCATTGTTGTGCCGGACTCCTGCATGAGAGCAGTCCAAAACGCCGACATGAAACGAGTGTCGCKGTCACTGACAATGTCTTCTGGTACACCGTGGCCACAAATCCAACCAGTGTGCAGGAGGCGTGCCAACTCGGGAGCCGTGGAGTAGTACTTGCAAGGGAGAAAACGCGCGTACTTACTCAATCGGTCCACCACCGTGAGGATGCCGTTGTACCCGAGCCGGTCGCGAGGAAACGGACCGGTGACGTCCATGGCAATGGAGAGACCAGGTTCCCGTGGGATAGGCATCGGGTGTAACTCGCCGTAGGGATTGCGGTTGCGGGGCTTGCTGCGTCGGCAAACTTCGCAAGAGTCGCAATACCGAGTGACATCGGTAATGAGGTCGGGCCATCGGAATCGCTGTCGAAGCCGTGCAATAGTGCGGTCGACTCCGAAATGGCCGGCGAGTCGTGAATCATGATACTCGCCGAGGAGGCGAGTCCGAAGACGACGATCGCGTGGGACACATAGTAAGTCCTTGCCTCTCGAGTGGAGGAGCAAGTACCCGTCGGCGATGCGGAAATGGCTGGCCGGCGGGTGATCCGAAGATAGTTGTGCATAGAGCGTGCCGAAGTCCGGATCAGACTGATATGCCCAGATGAAGTGTCGCTGAAGCTCGGTGATGCGTGGGTCCGAAGGTGAGTCCGTCGATGAAGCATCATGTGGCGGGAGGGCGTGGAGAAAACACACCCCCATCTCCTCGATGTCGTCTCTGATGATGGAAGCTCGCATGCTTGCGGCGGATACCACGTGGCAGCTGATCGAAGGATGAGGAAGAGGCACCGTGCATGAAACTAATACTCCGTTCCGATCACGAACGTGAACGGTGCGGTTGAAGAAGTTCACCGGGTGATCCTCGCTTCGCAGCCATGACATGCCCAAGATCATGTCGAATTTGGTGTCCAGAATATCAAAGGACACCGCCTCACTTGCGTGAGGGGCAAAGTACACTGGGATGGCGTCAATGCACCGGTCGATTGACTTGTGCGTATGACCGTCTGCCAGAGTGACTTGCGTAGGCTGGGACTTCCTCCGGACACGTGGGCCAAGGCCGGCGCGTACCATGAAGTCTTGGCTGATGTAGTTGCGAGATGCTCCGCAATCGATCAAGGCACTGCAGGTCGCCTCTCCGATCTGAATGCGTACGTATAGCAATGGTGCGTCGATGTCGTCATACCGTTGCGTCTTGAACTCGCGGTCGATCTTCGCGATGAAAACGTGAAGGTCGACAACCTCTGCTTCGGCGTCCATTAACGGAGCTGGTACTGCAGTGTGCAAGTAGTCCCGCAATTGTGCCATAAGCACGTTGCAATGCAGTTTCGGCAATCGTCCGGTCGAGGGAACGGGCATCCACTGGAAGTCCGTGAACGTCAATGGGTCGAGCTCTTCAAGTCTTGACCATGACGTCGAATCCCCGGCGATAGATTGCGGC